AGGCTAGCCTCAAACCCTGGGACTCAGGCAGTCCTCCCACCTCAGCCTCCCAGGTAGCTGGGACTTAAAGTGGTATTTTTTAGTATTTATTGTAGGCTGTTAGGAGCTGTGTCTATGTAAGAGAGAGTAGATAGAGCCTTAACTATGAAATACTAAGTATACTTTATAAGTTGATTTTTTTCATTTTTTCTTTTTTGTTTTTTTGAGATAGTCTCACTGTCACCCAGTGGCGCTCGCTGCAGCCTCCGCCTCCCAGGTTCAAGCGATTCCCCTGCCTCAGCCTCGCGAGTGGCTGGGATTACAGATGTGTGCCACCACACCTGGCTAATTTTTTTGTATTTTAGTAGAGACGGGGTTTCACCATGTTGATCAGGCTGGTCTCAAACTCCTGACCTCAGGTGATCTGCCCATCTCAGCCTCCCAAAGTGCTAGGATTACAGGCGTGAGCCACCACGCTCAGCCAATATTTTTTCCTTTTAGAAACATTCATAATGCTGAGGTGCTCCCCACTAAATAATTTTTTAAATGCCGGTTATGTTAACCATTTTTAGTATATTGTGGAAGTATAATGTAGTTACTCTATGGAAATCAAGCCTTATTGTCTTAATCAGTACTGCTTTTCAGCAATATTGAATACTGATATTTTGGGACTGTTATTAAGCCAGCTTTCTTTTAAATGTAATTAGGTATCTTAACATCCAGCTTGAAGATTTTTTTTTAATTTTTAATATAAATTTTCTTTCACGTCAGTCTTTCACTCATACATAATTATTTGAGTAAGAAAACAACTAAAATGCCACACTGGGTTAATAATATTTTCTGTAATTCCTTAATGCTGGTGTTTCTAGTGCAGCATAATTAAGGATTCAAACCACTTTTTAATAATGTGCTATAATTTTAGTTTGATAGGCTCATGCTTGGCAAATACCAATTAACAAATGGGCATTTTGACTTATTCTACTTTCTTCTTTGTGAGCCTGTTACCTCTCTTGTCTTTCCTCTACTTTCCTTTTCTTTTTCTAAGACCTTCTTTCTATAAGCCTATAGTAAAGTTATACAACTATCCCTTCTCCTAAACTATAGCCTTAACAAGAAATTTCAAAATTCTGAGCTGTGGTGACTAGAGCTTGCTGAGTATTTGTTAATGAAGTAAGTCCTTTTCAAGGCACTGAAAATAGTTATCCTAGAGTTAGTCAGGGGTTGGATGGGGGGTGTTTAGGGCAATTAAGGGCAAGGGGAGAAAATGGCTTCGCTAGCCTATAGAACCTAAAGATGAAACAGAAGAACAGGTTAGAATGAACATCATGTTGGTAATAGTAAATGAAAAGCAAACTTGGAAGCCATTTATTTGCTTCTGTTGGGGTTTTCCTGGATTGGGAGATTTAATGTTGAAGAGTAATCAGATAGCTTTGGCTAGTTCTTAAATACAAATGCACCCACAAAGTGTTTGCACAGGATTAATTATTAATATTAAGAGAATAAGAACTGGAATGATTCATTGAAACTGAATACAGCTATCTTCGGTGACTTAGAAATTACCCAGACTTTTTGTTAACTAAGCCTGACCTTGCCTCCGTTATCATGGTTGAAACCAGCAGTGGAGAGTGAAGAATATCAGCAGTAAGGGTATCAGGAGCAGAGAAGGGAGACAGCAGCCAGGAATGGGCAGGATGAGAAAAAATGGAGAAGGAAGGGAGTCAGATCAAGAAGTAGGAATGGAAACAAAAAGGAATAAAAAAGAGAAGGAGTGAAAGTAATGTGGATGTAAATCATTGAAGTAATGGCAAGTATCGTAACTTCCGTGTTTGGATGTGCCTGCTTAGACTGCAGCGGGACCCTCCAAGAATTAAGTTTACCCATGAAAGGAAGAAGGTGAGCAAGAGAGAAGGGAATTTTAAAAATACACTTGTTAAATTGTTTTTTAAATTTAAAATCAACATTAATGCACAATTTTTAAAATTTTTCAACATAGTAGTAATATTTGAGTCATATTACTAGGGAGAACTGTTCTAAGTCCTGTGTATATTGGTTCATTTAATCCTCACATAACTTTGCAAGCAGGTACTGTTAATATTTCTCCCATTTTACAGATGCAGAAACTGAGCCACAAAGAGAGTAAGTAAATTGTCTAGGCTAGTCAGATCACAGAGCCAAGATTCCACATGAGGCAGCATGACTACAGCTGGCTCTGTCACCTCTACCTCTCCCTCTCCATGATTTGTATGATATGTTTCTATAGAAATTTGTCTTGTTTTGAGAATGTTACATTTCCTTAAAGTAGTTATGTATCTGCTAGAGTAACAAACTCATGACGCTATTCAGAGTTCAAACAATTCTAGTCACTATTCACATCAACTTCCTTTTACTTTTTTCCCTTTAGAGTAATTTGGGAAAGTTTATTAAACTAGGTCCAAAATACGAAAATAAATAGTGCATGGTCCCTGTCCTCAGTGAACTGAATCTCAGTTTGTAATTGTTTAGTTACTTGAACCAAACCAGCTGTACTCCTCCAATAATACTAGTGTGAATTATTTGGCTTGAACCAAGCTTGCATGCATGTGCCAGTGAATGTTTCTTGGCTTCAAAAGTTTGCTCACCTTTAAAAGCTATGGACCAACTAGTAATATTTCTGTTACCCAAAACATTTGGAATTATTTTAAGCCTCACAACAAAATCACCTTCCATACAAAAAGCAGTAGTACCTAGTTTGATCACCTTCCTTAATCATCCTTGAAATTAAAGCTTTGCATGGATACTCACAAAATATTTATCTAAAAAGGTGTTTTGTTTTGTTTTACAGCCTTGATGGACGAAAATGTTTGCAGGTTATAGAGAAGGAAATGTGAATGGAGTTAGTGGATTTCACCAGGAACTTTGGAAAAGTGTTGGGTATTAGTCTTTAGTTGGCAAGTATTTCTTGATCAGTGTCTTTTAGGCAAGTAAGAGAAATTCTGGATCATCTGACAGGAAGGAAGTTAAGTACTAAATTCGGTCTAATTTGGCTTTTTGACCCGAGCCTCTATTGCTTCACTCTGACAAATAGTTTTAGCATTTGAAGACTTGATTAGCCATTCCCCTGTTAGACATGAATAATGATAATAAATGAGAGATTGTGGGAAACTGAGAGTGTCTTCATTTTCTTGAATGTATTATATGGGCATCGGCTCTCAGATTTTTATAGTGGCATTTGGAATACTTTGAATTTAATATTGGTGCCGTTATATATTATCCATATCTCATTCATTCAACAAATTGAACCACAGCCACATAGTGCTAAATACTAGGAACACAAATAAAGAACTCTGTTGTGCGTTCAAGCTACTTCCAGACTAAATTACTCTTTTGAGCATTCTCAGTTTTTCTAAGCCTGTCCTTGTTGTCATTTTAAAAGGAAGAAATAAGTTGAAAGTTCAAATTAAAATTATTCATTCGTTTTAAGGTAACATTATTTCTGGTTTTTGGGAGCCAAACTCTTTTTTACATCTGTTTTAAAGATATAGCAGAAGGAAAACTTCTTGAAGTCATTTTTACTTCATTTACACATCTGCAAATGCAGTTGAACTAGAAAGATCCTTTTCAGATCCTAAATCCAGTGATTAAGTTTCATATTACATTTAAAAAGACCTCATACCGGAAGGATCCACTGTCCCTCTATCAGAAATTTTCTTCACCTCAAGTTTAGCATTGTTTCTGTACAGTAATTGTTGACCCCCCCCCAAGACACAGTGAGGTTCAGATGTTCATCTCTTGAAAAATGGGTACTCAAATCTTGACATTTAAAAATTGTCTTCTCATGGGAAATTTCTTGAATGTAATCTTAAAATATTATTTGAGTTTATTTTATGCCTATTTTCTAAGTCCACAGTTACTTGGTTTATTATTAGCTTTTGGGGTACATATTCAGACTTGATGTTTCTCTTAGTCAATATCTTTGTAGTGTTTGTGTTCTTATACTTCTGTCCCAAAGACCTAATTTACTAAGCTAAAAAAAAAAAAAAAAAAAAGCTAATTTCTGGATCTGATTGGCAAAGTTTCTACTATTGGTTTATATTACATGCTTATACCCTGGTGGTGTAGCTGCTTTCATTATTGCTATAGTTAAGTAGTAATAGAGATAATTAAGTAACAGTTTTATGTTCAGAATCCTCCTTATTTTGCCCTCTCGGTGCTTTTTCTGTTCCTTCAACAAGATAATGAAGCTAATAAAGGCAGGCAGTTAAAGCCACACAATGAATCATTGCTTGATTTAAAAGAGTACTAGAAAATGGTGACTTTGTGCCTAGAAAGAATAGTGGGTATACTTGATCTGCTTTTCATCTTTTTTTTTTTTTTTCCATGTATAGCATCATCTTTTTGCTTGAGTTATTTTCTTTGCCTCCACAATGTGCAAATTAATATTATTTAAACTTTCTCTTTAGCATTTTTAGTATGTTCAGTCAACTTATTTAGTATATCTTTTCCCTTTTCCCCTTTGTTCTATGTGCAAAACGAATAAAACAGATTTTATAGATTAGTTCTATTTAATGAATAACTTTATTAAAACTATTACATCAATCTTGTCATACCCAGCTCACAGTTCATACTATTAATACTGCATTCCCTCCTTGCACGCTTCCCCCCTTAGAAAATAGAGGGTTTGGGCTAGGTGCGGTGACGCACACCTGTAATCCCAGCACTTTGGGAGGCTGAGGCAGGTGGATCACCTGAGCTCAAGAGTTTGAGACCAGCCTGGCCAACATGGTGAATACAAAAATACTAAAAATACAAAAATTAGCCTGTGTGGTGGTGCATGCCTGTAATCCCAGCTGCTCCGGAGGCTGAGGCAGGAGAATTGCTTGAACCCAGGAGGCAGAGCTTTCAGTGAGCCGAGATCATACCTCTGCACTCCAGCCTGGGCAACAAGAGCAAACCTCCACCTCAAAAAAAAAAAAAGAAGAAGAAAACAGAGTTTTTTGAAATGTATTTGTTTTTAAATCACCAGAGTTTTCTCTTTTCTGCAGATAATATCGTCTACTGCATTATTTTTGGCTGCAAAAGTGGAAGAACAGGCTCGAAAACTTGAACATGTTATCAAAGTAGCACATGCTTGTCTTCATCCTCTAGAGCCACTGCTGGATACTAAATGTGATGTATGTAAATACTGGATTTTTTATTTTTCTTTGTAAATTTGAAACTTTTCCATAATGTAGGTCTAACAAAAATACAGTTCAATTAGTGTTGCCTTCCAAATGCTGCTTATTTTATTACCTCTTAGGAATGCAATGCCAGGAAGCAGTCTGGCAGAAAAACATTTCACGTATGTTCATGAATCTGGATGTCATTCTGAATTATAGAAGGCTTTGATTCCAGATGCTTTGTTGATTCAAAGATAACTTTTGTTTCACATTTTGTTGTTCAGAGTTATGATACATGTAGAGGGTAAGCCCTGTCACCTCCCCTGGAAGCTGTATTTGAGACCAGATTATAAATAACCCCTTAATTTGTCAACAGATGAAGGAATAGAAAATCTTCTGAATTTACCCCTAAATGAGTAGTCTTTTTAAAGTATTGTTCCTTTTTAAATGCATGTACTGCTACTTATCTCTGATACATAAAGCTGCATTTTGCTATGCTTTCATGAGCAGCGTTTTTTTTAGTATTTTAATTTTCCTAGAGTAATGTTACTTTCCAGACAACTTTATCATCAACATTGTAATAGACCTTATTTGAAAGAACTATTTTAAATTTTTCTGACATCTTAAGATGGAAGTTAGAATTGTGGCCCTTTAAAAATTTTCGGCCAGGCGCAATGGCTCATGCCTGTAATCCCAGCACTTTGGGAGGCCGAGGCAGGCAGATCACCTGAGGTCGGGAGTTTGAGACCAGCCTGACCAATATGGAGAAACCCTGTCTCTACTAAAAATACAAAATTAGCGAGGCGTGGTGGCGCATGCCTGTAATCCCAGCTACTTGGGAGGCTGAGGCAGGAGAATCGCTTAAACTCGGGAGGCAGAGGTTGCAGTGAACCGAGATCACACCATTGCACTCTAGCCTAGGCAACAAGAGCAAAAAACCGTCTCAAAAAAAAAATTTTTTTTTCTAGCATCCTGAGTTACTTAATCAGGAACCTTTACCTATTGGATGACTAACAGATTATGTTAATTCAAAGTCCAGATTAATTTAAGCTTCGATGGAACTATATCTGATTTTATTAATGGCAAATTTTATCATAGATGTTGGCTTTAAGGGAGTAAGCTATTAATGTAGCCATTAAATAATAGTTTGTCATTATTTAACGATAATTCCTACAGTTTCTATTAACTGTACAAATTCAGAACTATTTCTTGGGGTACTGTTTAAATAATAGAAATTGTGTTCTACAAGTCAGCCCGATGACCTTTCAAAATAGAGCATAAATAAAATGAAAGATACTTTTACTATCTGGCTTTAGCAATATGTCCTTACAAAAATGAATATAGGTATATTCATATCGGTAATATAGTATTTCCTTATCACTTTGTTCAATTGTCATGATTTCAGAATAGGACAGCAGTAAATTTTTCATATCCTTTATTTCCAGAGTAATTGTAGTAGATGAAATTTCTTGAAATTGAGTAAGGAAGTTCTCTGGTATTTATGTCCCCATAGGTATGAGATACATTATTTTGGTATGTTTGATAATTTCTAAGTTGGCAGGGAAGTTAATTCTAAAATTAACTCGCTGACTTACTGTGACTTTTGAGGAATTACCACATGAAATATCCTAGAGTGAGTTTGTAAGCCAGGTTTGAGTTAAAGGCAGGTTTGAGTTTGATGTTTTTAATTGACTTGGACTTCCTGTCTTTAATATCTCTTGAAGCACCAATGCCTAGGTTGTTTCACTTTACAGACTATGCACATCTCCTTTTTTCAATTAACTTGCCCCCTTTCGTATTGTTTAGTTTCTTGTTTTTTGCTGTTTGTTTCCTGTTACAGAAAGTAATTCAGTTTAGGCTTGCCACAGAATACAGGTTTTCTCTGTCACCCTCAATTTATTTTCTCCATATTTTCAAACTACTGTGGTTCTTTTGTAATCAACCTATAATTCTCACAAGATGTAACAGTCATGTAGTCTAGTAATGTTACTTTTATTTTAATCAATTTGATAATATTTTTATCTGACAGGCTTACCTTCAACAGACTCAAGAACTGGTTATACTTGAAACCATAATGCTACAAACTCTAGGTACGTACTTACATCAGATAATGGCTTTTTGTGTGTACTTCCCTAAAGCATTCTAAATAAGTGAAAAGATTTCTGAAATAATTGTATTATTGAAGAAAGTTACTTTAAAACAGGTTTTAGACCAGAATAACGTTGCCTGGTTATAAGGAAATTACTTTTCTAGAATTTAATTTCATTTGGCATAATTAAATTGAATGGTAAACATACCCTACAGTATGATTTCTTAGGTTTTCAGGTAGTTGAAGTATGAAGTACTATGCTTCACTCTGGATTTGCACTGGAGAGTAAAATGGTCCTTTAGGGCTGTTTCATATGTTTGTGATGTATACAAACCTACACAGCAATCCTTGTTCTCCTTGAGCTTCCAGTCAGTATTTTATGAGTATATCGCCTTTTTATTTTTATTTATTTATTTATTTTTTTAAGACGGAGTCTCGCTCTGTCACCCAGGCTGGAGTGCAGTGGTGTAATCTCGGCTCACTGCAACCTCTGCCTCCTGGGTTCAAGCAGTTCTCCTGCTTCAGTCTCCCGAGGAGCTGGGACTACAGGCACATACTGCCACGCCAGTTATTTTCTGTAATTTAGTAGAGACGGGGTTTCACCATGTTTCCCAGGCTGGTCACGAACTCTTGAGCTCAGGCAGTCCGCCCGCCTTGGCCTCCCAAAGTGCTGGGATTATAGGCATGTGCCACTGTGCCCAGCCTATCAGGATTTTTAATGTGACGTAGTAATTATTTAAATGTTGGTCGTCCTTTTTTAAGTGTATCTTTTTATGCAAGTTCATTTACTCTCATCATTCACCTTACTTAATTTACTGAAATTGAGGCCTAAGAAAGTGATGGCTTATCTAAAGTCATATATTAGTTCTGGAAGAACCCACTAGGATGTGGTAGGAAGAACATGGGCTTTGGGGAGATCCGAGTTAAAATCTGTAGGCCTCTGATTTGCTTTGTAAACTTGGGCAAAAGTTCCTTTACCTGTCATACCTCCATTCTGTGGCCGTGGAATAGTATCTGAGTCATGTCGTGAATTTGTCATTTTTTAAATTTGTTACTCCATTCCCAGATGTTGCATAGAAGTGTGATAAATCAGTCACAACTTCCCATTGTGACAGACTCTTCATTATAAAACTAGCTTGTGTGAAATACATATACAGTTGACCCTCAAACAGCACAGGTTTGAACTCCATTGGTCCACATGGATTTTTTTCAATAAACAATACTGGAAAATTGGAACTTTGCAACAATTTGAAAAAAGTAGGTGAACTGTAGCCTAGAAATATTGAAAAAAATTAAGAAAAAGTTGGATATGTCATGAATGCATAAAATATTTATAGATATTAGTCTATTTTAATATTTACTGCCATAAAATACACATAAATCTATTTTTAAAAGATAAAAATTTTAAAAACTTAGGCACACAAGCACAGAGCATACGTGACTCTATTCGCAGTTAAGAGAAAATGTAAGCAAACAAATGTAAAGGTACATATAACTTTAATACATACATAACTGTACTACTGTGATAATTTTGTAGCCACCTCCTGTTGCTATTGCAATGAGCTCACGTGTTATGAGTATCCACTTAAAATGCTGTGTGACACTTGTTATCTCTGAACAGTTTGTCTCTCTAGTAAGTTACATATCACAGTAAAAGAAGTTCTGGCGTATTTTTACCGTATTTAGTGCAATACTGGAAACTTTGATTAACACCATGGGACCCATACAAAGTGCCTCTAGTGATGACAGAAGTGCTTCCAAGAAGCAGATAAAAGTTGTGATGTTACCAAAAAAAAGTTGAATTGTTTGATATGTATTGTAGATTGAGGTCTGTAGCTACAGTTGCCCACCATTTCAAAATAAATGAATCCAGTGTAAGGTTCAGTGTGAAAGAAGAAAAAGACATTTTTGAAGCCATCACTGCAGCTATACAAGCAGGCACAAAAACCTTACACTTTATCTCATATTGAAAATGCAGCTTTTATGTGAATGCAGGATTGCTATAAGAAGGGTATACCTATGGACTCTAATATGATTGGAGAGAAGCTTAAAGCAAAGGGAAGGTGAAGGATCTAAAGCCAGAGAATTTAATGCCACAAAAGACAGAAATTATGGTATATTTCTGTAAAGTTACACCACATGTTGCCTGCCTCTCCTGCCTCCCCTTTTGTGTCTTCCAACCTGAGACAGTGAGACCAACCCCTCTTCTTCCTTGGCCTACTATGAAGACCTTTATGATGATCCACTTTCACTTAATACTAGTAAATACATTTTTTCTTCCTTATGATTTTCTTAATAGTTTCTTTAGCTTACTATGTTGCAAAAATACAGTATATGATACGTATGCAAAATATGTGTTGATTAACTGTTTATGTTACCAGTAAGGCTTCAGCGGTAAGCAGGTTCTGGTCAACGATAGTTAAGTCTTAGAGGAGTACGTGGATTTTCAACTGTGTAGGGATTGGCACCCCTAGGCCCTGCGTTTTTCAAAGGTCAACTGTAAATTCTTTGAAGTTTCTATAAAATGAAAAGATGCCAAAAAAGTGAGGGTCTTATTTCTTGCAAATCCAATGATTTACCATGTTATTGTTTTACTATACAAAATTATAAAAATTTCATTTAGGTAAAAAATTGAAAATGAAAAATTGTAAATCATTATATAATGCAATTATTATATAAAATCATAATGTAATATCCATATTGTTTATGACATATTCTTAGGCACAGAGAATGAGAAGGTATTTTAAGGGGAACATTAGAATTTAGAAGATATGCCTCTGTGGCTTTATTTAAAGTATTTTGCATATTTAATTACAGTAGGACTATATATAGACCACACAACAACTTTATAAATCTAGGTTACCCATTTGTTAGGATTTTATTTACTTACTGCTTCTGAAGACAACCAAATGTGATCTTCACTTTTAATAAAAACAGAAATCCTGCCACACCTAAGGGTTGATTGCACGTTGAAAGCTTTTAAACATTTCATCTTTCGTATTAGAAACAGTAGTTTAAGCAGTCATGAGACCTCTAGGGTTTGTTTGTCATATGATTTTAATTATTAATGAAGTATAGTTATAACTGGTTGAAACCCTTTGATCTAGAGTGCCATATCATTTAAAAGCTCATTTCTGCCACTGTGGCCCAACAGTTAATGTTTTTGAAAAATGTGCTTTTCATGTCTTCTGAAAGAAAGCTTGGAATATTAAGAAAGATATTACGTAGTTGAATTCCGTCCTTAAATTGTGGGACCAGCTTAACAATTGTACTTGCCAGGAGTTTAATTTGTTTTTAACTTTAAGATAATCCCAAATCATTTATAATTCAGAATTTCAAACAAATTTACCCTTGGTCTTTTAACTTTATTTTCATAATTGAGACATTGGATTTGAAAAATTATATCTTGTCATTGGAAAAGTAATGTCAGTGATGAGAAACTTTAATTTTGGATTTTTCCTAATAATGAAGAATGTATTATATGTTTATGGCATTTCTCAGGCAAGTATTGTAGTGGTAAGTGATTGGAAAAAAAAGTGCTTATCATTTCAGGTTTTGAGATCACCATTGAACACCCACACACAGATGTGGTGAAATGTACCCAGTTAGTAAGAGGTAGGTGATCCTTAAAACTTTTAAGATAAGTATTAATGCTTTTTATTATCTATAATTGATTTCGGTGCTATTTTGTTCTTCTATCCTTTTGTTAGGTTGCATTAAAAGTAGGGGGAAATGTCATTTTTTAAGCATTACTTTTTAGTGCTCTACATCTGCCTATTCATCTACTTCTACTTGTGATTCTACCTGGTATGTTAGCTTCCTTTAAACATAGGTAAGAATCTCATTTCACTAAAACTTTGGAGGGCTTCCAAGTATTAGTACTCTATCCATCCCCCATTGAGCTCTCTCAGTCAGGTGTGGGCCAATAGTGCATAGGTCCAGAAAACAATATTAATTTTAGGTTTGTGTCAAACTTTGACTTCTTGAAAAGTGATAATAGTTGAAGAATTTTGAGGCCAATCTCAGGCCTTTCAGATAAAAATTGCCTTTGTTAAAAGATTTGTCAGTATGGTGGCTCCCACCTGTAATCCCAGCCCTTTGGGAGGCTGAGGCAGGCCGATTGCTTGAGCTCAGGAGTTCGAGACCAGCCTGGGCAACATGATGAAACCGCATCTCTACAAAAAACACAAAAATTAGCTGGTTGTGGTGGCACATGCCTGTAGTCTCAACTATTCAGTAGGCTGAGGTGGGAGGATGACTTGAGCCCAGGAGTCGGAGGTTGCAGTGAGCCCAGATCATGCCCCTGCACTCCACCTTGGGCAACAAGAGTGAGACCCTATCTCAAAAAGTTATTTTTTGGGGGGAAGTGTTTTGCCCAGATTCATTTGGGCAAACTAAAATTGATTCAATGTATTTTTCGAGGGTCTTTGACATTACTAAAAGTGATTTCCTTTTTATGTGTAATGGAGAAATAATTATAGGGCATAAAAAATACAGTTTGTGATGTGCCTGTTAAGCCTCTTGTTTATAAACAGGAGTACTTTTTAAAAGTATTGCTTTACTGCTTGTAAAGTATCTAGTGGTATCTGATACAGCATTTTTCTACTCCTAAATAAATCCTATATATCTGTTGTGTCCCTAGAAACATTTTTTACACAGTTGCATGTTGTTCTGCTTCTTACTTCTACTTTCCTGTTTCCATTTCAAGTGTTAATGTATTCATAGCAGCCACTTGGGACCTGTAGTGTGCCATTTTCTGTTACTTCCTTTTTGAAAATAGAATTTTGCAGTTTCATTCATTTACTACCAAGCTTTTTTAGATTTATCCTAAACAAAATGAGTAAGACTTTTGAAAGTCTTTTGTTTTTAGTATTTATCTAAATATTCTCACATTTTATTCATTCTAAATTGAATTCATTTTGTACCTAATGATTTATTATGTTAGTGGCTACAATTTTTTAAAAATTGTCTGATAGTATCATTAGGAAGTGGACGTCTGAAAATTCAATTTGTATTTTTTGTAGTAGCATACATTATCATTTGTAAGCTAGAGCATATTTAACTGTGGTTCCTGTTCTTTGTGGTTATATCAGTGTGTTTTATAGCACATTTTCATGTCAATATTACAGTATAGCATAGAATTGTATACATAACTAGTTGTAGATGTTGAATTAAGAAAAAAGGGTTAGTTTTTTCTAAAAACTTGAAAAAGGGTAAGCTAAACTTTATAAGCATGATAGCCATATAATTTGCTTTAAATTGAGAGCCTATTGAAGAAACATTAGTCGAAGGAAGTGTATGTTTAAAAATATTACTTATGAATATTAACTTAGGAATTGGATTTTCAGGTTACTGTTGTGAAATTTGAGTCAACTTTAAATTGTTTTCAGAGATTAATATTTTTTGTACATGTTCTCCTACAACTAAAAATTCTAGAGAGACATAAAGTCAGTTTACTTGAAAAATGAAATAGTAACTTTTGAAACATTTACAAAAACTACAAATTTGATATATCCAAAACAAAATATTTAGACCAGATTATTTGCTGTTGTTAATAAATGTTAAAATGTGACTGATTCTTTGAGTACAAACCATGTATATGTTTAATGTCATTTTGTCTGACTAACATTTCAGGTAACTATAGAATATATCTCACTCCATTTTAAAAGTATTCTTTCATGTTTTAGTGTCTTTTTTTTTTTTTCTTTACTCTTTTACAACTTTCAGCTAACAGCATTTCCCCTCTATTCTTCTCTTTTGCACAGTGACTGTTTCTAGATCACTGAATTTAGATACATCCCTAGGTGAAAACTGCTAATGGCATTTTTTAATTATTATTTTTTCCTTCTCTACGTATTTTTATTCGGGGGGGAGGGGAAAATAAATTTGATTTCTGTGAAGTCTTTTTCCCCCCTCTGGAGATGAGAAAGTTGATATTATGCTACTTTGCTGCAGAATTGGCTAATGTCATTTTACAGGGACCTTCACTTCTGTGATTTCTCCTTCCCTCCCCACCAGGAAAGTCACACTGCCTCCAAGACATCTGATGCTTTGACACTCTTCCTTAGCACAACTCTGCTAAACCCCAGTCCCTTTTGTAAAACCTTTATGTTGATGATCCACATGGGGCAGCAGGGATTACAGGTGCCATGAATTAAAAATAGGGGAGGGGGGAAGAAATTTGAGGACTGTTAGAGGGGTGGAGTTGAGATAAACTGATCCTAGGTGAGCAGAGGGGAAAGGTGTGTCAGTGATTGTGGATGTAATTGGGAAAAAGGGAAACGATAACAAGGGCATCCCTGTTGGGAAGACTAAGAGGCAGAATAAGGGGAGGGAAAACTTCAGTGTCTTAAGCTGATTAAAAATTGCCTTTCTGTTGGGGACCAGTGTTGAAGCATTCTGATCCTCCCTAGAATACCTGTATCTTTCCTAAGTTTGTCTTTAATTACATTCTGTAATTGAAATAAATTACAGTGGAGCCTCCTGTATCTATACCCGTATGCTGTTTCTAGGTTTATTCTCTGTTGATGGTTAATAGCATGATGAAAAACTGAGCAGTTCGTGCTCTGTGTTTTGTGGGGTGGGGGTTTGTTTTGTTTTGTTTTGTTTTGATGGAAGTATTTAAGCCAACTTAAATATGACTGAGGATTAAGTCTGGCAGGCAACTCTTTGTATTTTGTATTAGACTTCAAAATCTTTTCTTCTTCTTCTTCTTTTTTTTTTTAAATCCAGGAGAATGCTTTATTGCAACTTTTAGCTGACTAGATGCTTAACTTAGTAACAAGTTTAGCCCTTGTAACTGGCTAGCTAAAAGCAAATCGGCTTGTTTCTCAGATCTTTGGGGGATAGCAAGAAACATTTGAGTGAATGTTGTTGAAGATTTTCAGTAGTATAGAAAATGATGGCGCTCTTGTGATATTTGTAAGTAGTAAGTAAAATTTACTTTTTGTGTACAAATCTTTGAAGTTTTTGTTGTGTTGAGAACTTTTTGATAGTAGCACGTTAAAGCTGATAGTATTGTCTTCGTTTTTTTTTTTCTTTTCTTACAGCAAGCAAGGATTTGGCACAGACATCCTATTTCATGGCTACCAACAGGTTGTTATCCTGACCCTCTTTGTTGCACTGTTGTAGCACACTATAGCTTCCTTTAATGCAGGGCCCCCTCAATGTGTCTCTTACCCTTGTTGCAACAGGAGACTGGACCATCTACTGTGGTGGTACCTTCCTGTTTGCTTTGCGGTGTATTGTACAAGGGACTTTGGGCACAGAGGGGTTAAATGCACAATGTGAAGTGTAGTGGTGCTTTCTGATGACATATTCTCGATTTGTGAGTGCATAAGTCTAAAATTGGTAGCCTGAATAGCAGCTAAAGATTACAAAGAGCTAAACTTAACGTAGAAATTCGAGCAACTTGGTAAGTATAAAGCTATTTCCAGTTTACAATTATAGTTAAATGACAATTTTTAAAATTTCACGTTGATCCAGTCTTAACTTTAAAATACTCTAATTAAAGTTTTTTTAATAAAATTTATGTAATTTGAAATTTTTTTCCAGATAATACCCACTAGTAGCAAGTTAAAAGTAGTCAAGTCCTATCCATGCCTGGATTTGCATAAACACAATTTTTCTTTTTTTTTTTTTTTTAAACAAAAAAACCTTCCTTTTCAGTTTATGTAGAGTAAAAAATGGTATGCGTTTATGGCTGATCAGATAACATTTCTATCATTGAAACTGAACTGGAAGAATAGTTTTAAGGAGCCTTTAATATATAATCCTGTTCTATATTTATTTTATTAATGATTTAAATTTGTTTTTTTGAGTGGATCATTGGGGAGAAGGGACCACGCCAGCTTTGTAGGGTCCCTAATTTCTTGTGACACTGATAAGTTTTATTTACAGTTTCGGATTGGCAAATACTGCTATATTTTCTCAAATATCTGTTGTTGGGATTTAACCTCTATCCCCAGTAATTCTGAACAACAACATAAAAAGACTTAAATTTGAAACTTTGATTAGAAAAGACCAGCTGTGACACATATTAACATGCCCCATATTTGGCATATAGTGGAAGGAGAAAGGTAGTATTTTTGCAGTATTTAATAACGTTGAGCCTTGAAGCTGTTTGGCAAAAGGTAAGTTTCCTTTGTGGCTTTGCCGAAAAACAAGGCATAGGTTTACATAGATACGTGTTTAATTCTCTCTGCTTCACTAAAGAAAGCAAATGCTTATTAAGCCACATCAGATGGGATAATTCCTGATTATTATGACATTGGAATTACTTCGTCAGTTTTACTAATAGTCTTTATTTTTACATTTACATATTTACCATGACATTACAAAAGAAAAATACCACAAAAAATTTACAGTGTTATCTATATAGTGATTATTGCAAATATACTATCCTCTTCTCCTTTTATAAAATACTTCAATTTTAGATGTAAAAACAAAATTTTAAATATTAATATATTAGTAGTGGTAATATACTGTTGGGAGTGAGGGGAAATGTTCATTATATGTAGATTTTTTAGTACTAGAATTTTATAACTTAGCTTTTAATTTAATAAGGTTTTATACTCTAGACTTAAAGATAGAGTTTAAATTTTGCTCTAATCTTACTGGTAAATGTTTTTCTTTGTTTTACATACTTGAATTTTTATGGCTCTCCATTTTCAAACCTGCTCTGCAATAGTCTGCATCTTACAACCTTCTGTCTTCAGTACAAACCAACAGTGATAGCATGTGTATGCATTCATTTGGCTTGCAAATGGTCCAATTGGGAGATCCCTGTATCAACTGATGGAAAGCATTGGTGGGAATATGTGGATCCTACAGTTACTCTAGAATTATTAGATGGTAAGTAGAGAAAATACATTTTTAACAATTTGGATTTATCTAAGTTGGCAGTTGTCTGAATTGACAATAGAAAGTGTCAGTACACTATCAAATGAACAGAATGAAAACAAGAATTCACCAGCCTAAAGAAAAAAAGAATTGAATCTGGAAGCTCTGCTCATACCTGTAATCCTAGCACTGTGGGAGGCTGAGGCAGGAGGATCACTTGAGCCCAGAGGTTCAAGACCAGGCTGCGCAACATAGACCCTGTTTCTACAAAAAAATGTTAAAAATTGACTGGATATGGTGGTGCACGCCTATAGTCTCAGCTACTTGGGAGGCTGAGGTGGGGTGATCGCTTGAGCACGGGAAGTCAAGGCTGCAGTAAGCCTTGAAGGCACTGCTCTACTCTAGCCTGGGTATATATTAACTACCACCAGATATCTAAAGCTTTTTCAGGACTTAAAAAATAAATAGATAAGGTTTAGAATTCCATAAGCTGACAAGATAAGAATAGTGATTTAAAGTATACTAATTCTGTTGAGTTTTAAATGTGTATACTGAAAGTTGAGTGTTAACCGTGAAGCAGTAAACTAAAGGGATTTTCAGGGGATTGTGTTTCTTGCTCTGTATTACCATTGTTGCCTTACATTGTTAAATATGAATACACAAGGAGAAATTGTGGGTATGTGGTCTGTTAATTAGGAGCATGGAATTTTGGGGATGTTTTGATGAGAAATTCCTCTGGTTGAGAAGTAAAAGAAGCCAGAAATGGGAGATTCTTGGAATTAGGGCATTTGAACCACGTACTGTAGATTTCAGAAAGAAAACAGATAACACTTTTTTTTTTTTTTTTGAGTCAGTCTCACTCCATTGCCGAGGCGACAGAGTGCAGTGGTGCAGTCTCAGCTCACTGCAACCTCTGCCTCCCAAGTTCAAGCAATTCTCCTGCCTCAGCCTCCCAAGTCGCTGGGACTGCAGGCACGAGTCACCACACTCAACTAGTTTTTGTATTTTTAGTAGAGATGGGGTTTCACCATGTTGGCCAGGCTGGTCTCAAACTCCTCATCTCAGATGATCTGCCAACCTCGTCCTCCCAAAGTGCTGGGATTACAGGCTTGAGCCACTGTGCCTGGCCTTGTTTTGTTTTGTTTTTTGAGACAAGATACTCTGCCCCCCAAGCTGGAGAGCAGTGGTGCAATCTGGGCTCCCTGCAACCCTCTGCCTCCTGGGTTCAAGCGATTCTTGTGCCTCAGCCTCCCAAGGAGCTGGAACCACAGGCGCATGCCACCACACCCAGTAGAGACGGGGTTTTGCAGTCCACCTGTCTTAGCCTCCCAAAGGGCTGAGATTACAGGTTTGAGCCTCCATGCCCTGCTTGAAGTGTTTCTTTAAGATAGGAATCTGCAAAGAGTAACACTATTTTAGAGTTTGTGGGCCATAAGGTCTCTGTTGCAACTATATGACTATACCATTGCAGCCGGAAAGCAGCCATAGGCAGTTTGTAACTGATCGGATGTGGCTGCGTTCCAATAAAACTTTGTTGACAAAAATAAATGACCAGCAATATTTGGCCAATTATCCGTAGTTTGCCTATTCTTATTTGTGAAATATGCTTCTTTGTTTCATCCCTTTATTTTCTATTTTGTTCTCCACCTGGAAAAAATTATCCCAGAATATATGTCTCATGCTGTATTATTGCTGCATGATTATAATGTTTTTCTTAAATTGTTGGAGGCTTTTTCTGAGTTTATCCAGAGGAAAGGAAATCTTCAATGAGTTGAAATGACATCTAAAACTCAGTGAGGGCTTATCTGTTCTATAGCTTGAAAATCAGGTTATCTAGATCATTGTTTTAGTTTAATCGTCACTAGATTAAGATTAGGTAGGCAAAATCTTTTTTTTTTTTTTTCTTTTTTTTTTTGAGACAGAGTCTTGCTCAGTCGCCCAGGCTAGAGTGCAGTGGTGCAATCTCGGCTCACCACAAGCTCTGCCTCCTGGGTTCAAACAATTATCTGCCTCAGCCTCCTGAGTAGCTGGGATTACAGGCGTGTGCCACCACGCCTGGCTAATTTTTGTATTTTTAGTAGAGACAGGATTTCACCATGTTGGCCAGGCTGGTCTTGAACTTCTGACTTCATGATCCACCCACCTCGGCCTCAAGGTGCTGGGATTACAGGTGTGAACCACCACGCCCGGCCAGTAGGCATAATCTTAACAAAAATAGTTTATATACCTGGTGCTGAAGTAAAAAGATCACAAAAAAGTAATCTGCCTTTTATCCTGACTTTAGGTCAGAGGTTAGGTTGTGGTTTATGTGGGGTTTTTTTGACACAGCAGGAGCTACCTCATTTCCATTCTGAAAAAGGTAAAGTTTATTAATTTGGAGAGCAGTTGAATAAGAATCTTGGAGACCTGATACGTTAAGACTTTCACCATGTTTTGCAGCACTTTTTTTCTGTGTCAGTCACAAAAGGGCAATTCAAAATTTAAGACATGAAGATGTGGCTGGGTGCAGTCACTCACATATCTTGAGCACAGGAGTTTGAGCCCAGCCTGAGCAACGTGGCAAAACCCCGTTTCTACTAAAAATACAAAACACACACACACACACAAACCGGGTGTGGTGGCGCACTCCTATAGACCCAACTACTGTGGAGGCTAAGGTGGGAGGATCACCTGAGCCTGGGAAGTCAAGGTTGTAGTGAGCTGTGATAATGCCAGTGCACTCTAGCCTGGGCAACAGAGAAAACCCTCTCTGGAAAAAAATAAAAAGACATGAAGATTTATCTGAATCTTAAGAGTGCAGTGATACTAGTATTATTACTTACTGAAATCACTTAACAACTATGTTCCAGAAAAGAACATTGGCTTAGACAGTAGCTTTGAGAGAGAAGGGCCTCTATTTTAGGCACATACTGTGATTTTTGTGCATATAGCTAATTAATTACATTAATGGATTATTTAACAGATTCTTTTGTTCTTCTGCTATAAAATTTAATACAGTAGGATACTTAAGAAAAACAAAGCTTACATTTTGTGTACCAGATTTTGGACCAGAACTTGAAGTGTATTTAATGTTTTACAACCAAGTTGTTACAGAAATTGAGTCAAAACAATTTTGGTAATGTTGGACCCAAAAGTAGAAAAATCGTCTTTTTTTTTTTTCTTTTTCTTTTCAAATGAGGAAGTGAAGGTCTGGGCATTAGGGGTTTTTTTCATCCAAACTGGATGAAAAAGCTCATGAGACTTTAGCAAGGACTAGTCATGACATTGTCAAGGAAATTACATCTTGAAAGATTAATGGTTAAATTATAGCTTGTCTGAATTGTCAATCTTAACATTGGCTTAGAATAGTTTACAAAGAAGCTTGCTATTACAAAATGAACCTGTAGTCTCTACTAATAGAGGTTCCCCCAGTATTGAAGTTGAATTGGCATTATTAATATTATGTGGTATTCTAATGTATTTGATGAATATTTGAGAGTGGCCAGTAACTATTAATGACATTATTTTGGGGGAATAAAACTATAGTTCATCAAAACCACACTACTGTGGAAAAGTGGATCATTTCATTGTAATCAAAATTTTAAGAAAATTGATAGAAAAAATTACAACCAAGATAGTTTGCTAATATATTAATAGTGTTGATGCCTAAGAAGTATGAATATAGTTGGAAGGATTTTCCTTTTAAAAAAAAAAGTCTGGGCGTGGTGGCTCACACCTGTGATCCCAGCACTTTGGGAGGCCAAGATGGGAGGATCACTTGAGGCCAGGAGTTTGAGACCAGCCTGGTCAACATAGTGAGACCCTGTCTCTATTATTTTAAAAAAAAAAAAAAAAGAAAGAAAGAAAGAAATTCAAAATATTGCATAGTTCCCTGTATACCCTTTAGCTTCTCCTGATACTAACATCTTACATAACAATATATGATTATCAAAACTAGGAAGTTAACATTAGTACAATACTGTTAACTAAAGCACAGATTTTATTCACTATTCCATATTTTTTCCTATTGTAGGATCCCATGTTCCATTTAGTTGACATGTCCCTTCAAGTCTTCTCCAGTCTGTGACAGTTCTTCAATCTTTCCTTGTCCTTCGTAACACTGACACTTAGAAGAATAATGGTCATTTTATACAGTGTTCCTTAGTTAGGGTTTGTCTGATGATTTCTCATTATTATGTTGAAGTTACGTATTTTGAGCAAGAATACTGTAGAAGTAGGTTGGGTCTTGTTTGGTGCATCATATCAAGGGGTACAAAAACTGGTAATGACAACCATGATCACTTGGTTACAGTGGTATCCTTAAAGTGGTTTCTGCACTTTAAAGTCACTATTTTTTTTCTCTTTGTAATTAGTACATTTCATGGGGAAGATACGTTGGGATTATACAAATAACCTTTTTCCTCAAATTTTTGTCCACTAATTTTAAACAATATATTGATAGATCTTGCCTGCAACAAAAATTATTGTGTTGTTTGCCTAATGAAGATTTTTTGTATTGGGGGGGGGGGATTATTTTTAATGCTACTAGATTTTCCAGAGATTCTAATTAAGCAAGTAAAATCAGGAGGGAAAGTAATCATTACTAAAGGATTCAGCTTTGAAAATGCCGGTTGAGAGTTGTGTGTACTTCTGTATATGCTGAGGATTGAATAGGAGGGTAAAAGTGAAGTAGATGAACTCCTAGCGTTCCTTTTTAATACTGCCCACTTAAGAGAAGTTTAAATCCTAAAGGCACCTTCTAAGTTTCAAATTTAAATTTTATTTTTAGAGCTAACACATGAGTTTCTACAAATATTGGAGAAAACGCCTAATAGGTTGAAGAAGATTCGAAACTGGAGGGTAAGAGAATTGACAGGGTTTAACAGAATTTCAGTCTTTTATGTAACATTTACATAGCTAACCAGTTTGAATTTTTGTGGTTTAATAATCTTTGCAGTATTCCTGAATAATTCAGCGTGTCTCAAGTTACATATACTCACATATTCAATTACTGAGTCCAGTAGACTTTGCTAAAGTACAGTATACTTTAAAAAAATTTTTCACAGTGATTATGACGAAAGTATCCTCTTCATTTTACAAATGGGGAAACTGAAGCCTAGACGAGTTAAATTACTTTCTCAAGTGCTGGGCTAGGATTTAACTTGTATTTGATTCTAAAATTGGTGTTTTCAGTTTTTTATAGCTTTCTTTTATACCTCTAAACAAGGCACTTATTTACTAGCAACATTAAAACCTTGAACCCCAGGTCATTTTATTTCCATATGTTTAATGTATAATGTTTTTAATGTATAACTTTTATAAGACAAGAAATTTGCATTAAATTATTTTTCTATATCACTGCTTCTTCTGTGTTTTATTTTAATAGGCTAATCAGGCGGCTAGGAAACCAAAAGTAGATGGACAGGTATCAGAGACACCACTTCTTGGTTCATCTTTGGTCCAGAATTCCATTTTAGTAGATAGTGTCACTGGTGTGCCTACAAACCCAAGTTTTCAGAAACCGTCTACATCAGCATTCCCTGCACCAGTACCTCTAAATTCAGGAAATATTTCTGTTCAAGACAGCCATACATCTGATAATTTGTCAGTGCTAGCAACAGGAATGCCAAGTACTTCGTATGGTTTGTCATCACACCAGGAATGGCCTCAACATCAAGACTCAGCAAGGACAGAACAGATATATTCACAGAAACAGGAGACATCGCTGTCTGGTAGCCAGTACAACATCAACTTCCAGCAGGGACCTTCTATATCACTGCATTCAGGATTACATCACAGACCTGACAAAATTTCAGATCATTCTTCTGTTAAGCAAGAATATACTCATAAAGCAGGGAGCAGTAAACACCATGGGCCAATTTCTGCTACTCCAGGAATAATTCCTCAGAAAATGTCTTTAGACAAATATAGAGAAAAGCGTAAACTAGAAACTCTTGATCTTGATGTAAGGGATCATTATATAGCTGCCCAGGTAGAACAGCAGCACAAACAAGGGCAGTCACAGGCAGCCAGCAGCAGTTCTGTTACTTCTCCCATTAAAATGAAAATACCCATTGCAAATACTGAAAAATACATGGTAGATAAAAAGGAAAAGAGTGGATCACTGAAATTACGGATTCCAATACCACCCACTGATAAAAGCGCCAGTAAAGAAGAACTGAAAATGAAAATAAAAGTTTCCTCTTCAGAAAGACACAGCTCTTCTGATGAAGGCAGTGGGAAGAGCAAGCATTCAAGCCCACATATTAGCAGAGACCATAAGGAGAAGCACAAGGAGCATCCTTCAAGCCGCCACCACACCGGCAGCCACAAGCATTCCCACTCACATAGTGGCAGCAGCAGTGGTGGCAGTAAACACAGTGCCGACGGAATACCACCCACTGTTCTGAGGAGTCCTGTTGGCCTGAGCAGTGATGGCATTTCCTCTAGCTCCAGCTCTTCAAGGAAGAGGCTGCATGTCAATGATGCATCTCACAACCACCACTCCAAAATGAGCAAAAGTTCCAAAAGTTCAGGTAGTTCATCTAGTTCTTCCTCCTCTGTTAAGCAGTATATATCCTCTCACAACTCTGTTTTTAACCATCCCTTACCCCCTCCTCCCCCTGTCACATACCAGGTGGGCTACGGACATCTCAGCACCCTCGTGAAACTGGACAAGAAGCCAGTGGAGACCAACGGTCCTGATGCCAATCACGAGTACAGTACAAGCAGCCAGCATATGGACTACAAAGACACATTCGACATGCTGGACTCACTGTTAAGTGCCCAAGGAATGAACATGTAATAATTTGTTTAGGTCAATTTTTCCTTTACTTTTTTAATTTAAAAATTGTTAGGATGGAAAAATTCCTTCTGATCTAGCAGTGGTAACCCCTGCTGTTGCTGCCACTGCTTCAATATTTGTAAGTGCTGCTTTATTCTTCATTCTGAAAAGAAGAGATTATAGTAAACAAGTCTTTATCTCCACATATGATAGTGTTATAAATACTGTAAAAGCATGGAAGGTGCAAAACTCAGTATTTCTACAATTGCAGCTAAGAACATTAGGATGAATGGCTGGCTGCTTCTAGGAATATAAGATGCCTCAAGCATTCATTATTTATGATTTGAATACTGTAGCTATTTTTTGTTGTTGCTTGGCTTTTGAATGAGTGTAAATTGTTTTCTTTTGTGTATTTATACTTGTATGTATGATTTGCATGTTTCAAAGATAAAGGGATAAAACAGTATACTGACAACTGTTTACAAGAAAGTGGAGAAAAATGTACATACATTTTTGTATGTTTAGATATTACCATAAATACTCAGGATTGGAGCTGCTTGTAAGTATAACAATATACAGAATAACTTTATTTTATCTTGTCAGAGTCCATCACTAATCTAAAACAAAGGTGGCACTTTTTTATGTTAACCTTAAACTCTAGGCCTTACTGGAAGCCACTGATAGGGGACACTTCACTACCAGATGTGTATGCAGTGCCACAGATGGTCACATACACTGTGAGGCACTGAAATTTTGCCTTCAGAGGTTCTGACCAGATTGGCTGCTGAAATAGCCCCTAACTTTCTGAAGGCTTGAAGAGGAAAAAATAAAGTTTACATACTCTTGATGTGAAGTGCATTTAAATGTTTGTTGGCTTGTTGCAGTTCTATGAAACAGCTGTTAATAATGGTTATGTGGATTACTGTGATTTGAAAACTAAATTCACAATAACTTACCTAGTAGAGACTTAGTGAGTTGTTTCCTTTAAAGAATTTTACACTACATATTTTAGCAGTAAACAGGGATCACTTTTCCTTTAGCATTCAGAATGACACCACATTCTTAAATATACTCCTTCCCTGAAGCGTGTTTGTGTGTGATGCCATATTTCTTTTTCAGGTAAATGTAGTCTTCCTTATAAAAATGAAATTAAACCTATGCTCTCTCAATTCTTTTATATTCTAACAATAAATAAAAAAGAAAAGATTACTGACTGTGCATTGTACCTGTATTTATAGTTATGGTTATCAGGAAGCTCTGTAAGAAAGAAGAGGTCAGCCTCCCAGGCAAACCACTAGTGGAGGTTTTACATTTGTTTGCACATCTCAGTGTATTTCTGTTGAGGTAAAGTTTGCACAGTCTTCTGACTTCTGATCAAACTTTGGATTTTAACTTGTTTAGATTTTGTCTTAAACACCAGTAATATGGCTCTTGTTTATCAGCTAATCTTGAATTTATTCTGTGGTAAATCTTTTGAGTTGAGTATATTTGAGATTGATTGGATTCAACCTCTTGTTGAACTGAAAACAATTTTTTTTTCTGTATTTTTGTTACAAAGCCACTGATATGTGCACAATTGTAATTTTACTCAAGTATGTTGCAGTTGTAAATATTAGAGTTTAATCTTGTGCTCTACCTTTATTTAGCAATTATCTAATAGCTTTATAATTTTTAAAGATAATTGTTCTTTATTTTGTCAATGTTATTTGAACTTGGGGTACTTAGGAGCCTCTTTGTAGGGACTGTGCCTAGGTAGCATGTCCTAACATTTGTTCTTGTCTTGCATAACTTTAGTGATCTTTGTCATTATATGTAACTTTGTTGCTCTGTATGGCATAATATTGTATCCATAAACATGGTAATTTTGATACAGTTATACTTTTACAGTGGTACATAATCCAAGGACTAGTATAGAATTAAGCAAGTGCAAGATGAGGGAGGGAAGGGCTTTCTTGATAATTTAGATGTGAAACCTCTACAAGAGCTATCATGTAAAAACTACATAAGGTGGTTGTGCTACTGTATCATTGGGGGTGATAATACCAGGAATTTTAATAAGATTTTGTAAAGAATATCCAGAAAAGTAGTGAACTTATTTTCAGTAGACATAGATAACAATGTGAATATTTAAGGTCTGTGACTATAGTTAAACTTCACTAAGAATTTGCAGAATTGTTTTGAGATGTGGGAATAAAGGTAATTTTATTGAATCTTCATTGGTGCTAATGATGGACAGTTAAAAAGATAGCTAGTGTATATTGTTATGGGTCAGTACTTATTAGTACTTCCAAAATTGAATTTGAAATGCTATGTATTCACTTTTCACTCTGTAAATGTAATTCTTTACAATGACTTTATTTATTAAAGGGCAGCCAGTTGTCATTTTTACAGGATTGTGTGAGCTATTCAAACTCCTTAACCCCTGAACAGGATATTAAGCTTCCAGAATAACGATGGGAATAAATATGGAATCCTTTTTAAGTTTTATTTCCATTAAACAAAAACCCTTATAATTCATACTATCATGAATTTGTTTTATCCATCTCATTTGCATAACAGTTCATCTGCCTGGTCCCACTAGGCTCTACCAAAGAAAAAGACTCTGATGAGTGGACATTATTACTGTGACTCTTGTAAGTAGCCATAAATAAACCAAAATAGTATCAAATTTAGGTATGAAATTCCACATGTGCAAAGTACTGTTAAGGTGATAACATTTTTGATGAGATTTTAAAAAAAAAATTTGAAATATTAAAAAGCATTATCTTTAAACATCCTATAAAAGAGTGAGTCATTTTTAAGTTGTGTTTTCCCTAGATCACTGATTTGTTACCTTTACACAGAAGCACGTTGCAAAGAAAGGCTTTACTTCTACCTCTTCCAGCTAGTTTTCCAATATTGAACTGTGTCCCTCTAAATATTTGCCTTAGCTATTGCAAAATAGATATTTTCAAAACCAAAGCAAAGGGGTGGTTTGTTCACTGAAACGTTCTTAAGAGGCCTACTTAACAGGCAGTAGTAGTCTGTAGTGGTAAAACCTCACAGTTTCCTAATTGCAGGTATGTAAATACCAAAAAAGTCCTGTCATCAGCCATAGATTTATCTTTGAAAGCAATTAAATGTGCGCCTTGGTCTTCCTCTGTGCAGATTCGTTCTGGTTAAAGTTCTTATTCAGAGTCATCTAAAAGAAATTTCTAACATGATGTATGGTTTCTTGAATGTCATGAGTAGCTGCTTGTATTACTTTGTAGCAACAGATTGTATTAATATTACGTAGAATACCTAACTTTCTTGGCCTATCCTCTTTGAACTAGAAATGACTACTTGAGGGCTCTTTCAGAGAACCAATATGAAATGTTTTTGTTAGTACCAAATACCCTTGCCTTAAAAGGTTTCAAGCACATTTTCCTTTATATTTGAGAACTTAAATTGCTGACTTGTATTCCTTAGGCAACCTTAGAAATAAACCACTGCTTATAGCTGCATGAATGTTATGCACTTCATGAGTACAGTTAGTTGATTAGACATTTCAGGGTTTTGCATTTACTATAGACATGGGGACTTTTTTAATGGGATAACATCTTAGGAAAACCTTTCTCAAGATATTACATGATTTCCAATTTTATCCAAATGAAAAGCATACCCGCTTAAATTTAGGATGTCTTTGCTGAGAATATTTGGAGGCTCTTGTTAGGAAGAATCGTGGATTCAGTATTTCTAACCTGATAACTGCCTCAGAGGCTGTCTTGGGAGGCAGTAGGATTCACTGACTACCTTTACCCAGATGAGGGATCAACAAATCTCACACTTGAATTAAATGAGTTGACAGGACAGTAGGTGCTAATCTCATGCGCCCTAAGATGGGCTTATTTAGACAGGAATTTTTGCATTGGAAAAGCAGCACATTCTCTGACCTTGGGTACCAAGCTATGATACTAATTTGAGAATCACATTCTGATACGTGAATATCAGAAATCAGTGAGCAACCTAATCGCTGTAAGCTGACATATATGGAAGCTGAAATCAAAAGGTTGCTTGTTTTGTTAGTTTCCCTGGAGCATCTATCTTTAATACATCTTGCCAGTGGGACTGAAGAACTCAAAATGTTTTAGGCCTAATACCATACATTCATTTTCTGCTCTGCAGTGTCGATTTGGGCACAGCCAGTTTTGCCTCTGTGGCACCTTTCTGTAGTTTACTGTTACCTATTCTGCCTGACAGATTGCTTAAGTGGGTTGATAAGATGCATCGAAGATTGAATGGCTAGGAGTAATTCTGTTCGCATACAGGCAACTTCACTGTGGAATCCATTGATCTCAAAGTTTTGAGGGCCGTCTAATATCCTTTATTTTCAAGTATGGGGCGGAAACTCAAAATCCCGAGCATTGCCGCTTTAGTAGCTTGTTTGATTTGCCTATTGTTTAATAACGAGTACATTCTTAGTGATGAGTACATTCTTATTTTTAAGGCATGTTTTGTTTTTTAAGCAGCTTCATTTTATTAGAAAAACTTCATATGTACTCATTTGTTGTAAACAGTGATTGTGGGGTTTCATTTTCTGAATGTACTCAAAACTCCCAGCAATTGAATAGGATGTTTGCTAATAGAAAATCTAAAACAGGAATATGTGTATATGGCATGAATTAGTCATTGACTTTAAGCTTCTTATCCATACAAGGAACTAATAAAATGTGTTTATTGACAACATAAATCCAAGGCTCTAACATGTCTTGATGTGAATCAGAAGTAACTTGCAGGTGGGGCGCAGTGGCTCATGCCTGTAATCCCAGCACTTTGGGAGGCCAAGGCGGGCGGATCACCTGAGGTCAGGAATTCAAACCAGCCTGGTCAACATGGTGAGACCCTGTCTGTACTAAAAATACGAAACTTAGCCGGGTGTGGTGGCGCGTGCCTGTAATCCCAGCTACTTGGGAGGCTGAGGCAAGAGAATCGCTTGAACCCAGGAGGCAGAGGTTGCAGTGAGCCCAAGATTGCGCCACTGCACTCCAGCCTTGGAGACAGAGTGAGACTCCTTGACAACAACAGAAGTAACTTTCAGTCCCTGGGAAATGTGAGGTCTCTAGTATAATTGACCCTTTATCCAAGTAATTTCATGTTTCAGGAGTGCAGGCTCTGGGATTAGATGGTCCATGCTCTAGTCTCAGCCCTACCATTTACTAATAGAATGACTGGGTGAATTACTTGATCTCATGCTTTGATTTTCTTCCCTATAAAGTGTTAGTAGTTGTACCTGTTCGTCATAGAGTTGTGTAAGGCTTGGATTGTCAAGGAAAGCCAGATAGAATAGCATTAAAGAGAATCCTAACAGAGGGGTAGATTCGGGATACTGGATGGAATGATGAAGGCCAATCCAGGTGTATAACTGGAACGTATTAAATACTGCATTCCTGCTGTGTCCAGAATTCTCTTAAATTGTTCATTCTGATTTCTGTTTTAAGATTTTCTTGTCTAACCTCTTGCATCACTCCCATAAAAAGCACAAATAATTGCAATTATCTGTAAGGGGAATTACCTACTTAAAATTTTTTATTTGTTGAGACAAGGTCTCACTCTCACCCAAGCTACAGTACTGTGGTGTGATTTTTGGCTTACTGTAGCCTCTTCCTCCCAGGCTCAAGTGATCATCCAACCTCAGCCTCCTGAGTAGCTGGGACTACAGGCATGTGCCACCATGTGCCCGGCTAATTTTGGGTTGGGTTTTTTTTTTTTTTTTTTTTTTTGGTAGAATGGAGTTTTAACATGTTGCCCAGGATGGTCTCAAACTCCTAGGTTCAAGCAGTCTGCCCACCTTTGCCTGCAAAAGTGCTAAGACTACAGGTGTGAGCCACCACGCCCGGCCCCTTCAAAAATATTTAAACATAAGCTGTTCTTTAATAAGGCCGCTCGCCAACTTCCCTCCCCTTCCCAGCAATTTCCCTGCACCTTCCACGTGAAAGAAAATGCAAGCTAATTGCAATAACTTTGATAAAGTAGAATTAGGATAGAAAAATCACTTTTTAAATACATTTTCAGGCTAGGCGCGGTGGCTAACGCCTGTAATCCCAGCGGCCAAGGCAGGGGTCACCTGAGGTCAGGAGTTCGAGAGCAGCCTGGATAACATGGCGAAACCCCATCTCTACTAAAAAATATAAACAATTTAGCCAGGCGTTGCAGTGCGTGCCTATAGTCCCAGCTACTCAGGAGGCTGAGGCCGGAGAGAATCTCTTGAGCCTGGGAGGCAGAGGTTGCAGTGAGCCGAGATAGCGCCACTGCACTCCAGCCTAGGCAACAGCAAGACTCTATCTCAAAACAATAATAATAATTTTTAAAAATTAAAAATAAAACATTTTCAGCCTAAATGTAACAAATATTTTTTGTATCACAGTTAAGAGATTTGTCTCACTGGTACTGACATCAGTAAGGGCTTGTTCTATTATCATAATAAATTGGATGGGTTTTAACTTTACAAAGCAAGTAATTCAATCTAACCAAACTCATCCAAGTTCATTTGTGTATTCCTTCACCCCTGCCCCCTGCACTTTTCAATATAATAAATTGTATGTTTTTATTTTAACTGTAGCATATGGCCTGCCTATTCCTTCCCCTCAACACCACCTCCCAATACAATGTAGGGCCTCACTGATGAAAGATTTTTATTGTATTGCCATGAAATTAAGAATCTTACTTAGACCTTTCAAATGTTCAGACACAGTTGAGGAGGCCAGTTTTCTTTCATCTTTCACGTCAGCCTGTTAGTGACTGCCTTATGGATGAATTCAGCCATGGATTTTCATAATGTCATGTCCTGTCAATAGGAAAAAGCACTATCCTCTATAAACTTGACAGTGTAATGGCATATACAAACTTTTTTTTAAAACTTTATTACCAGTAGAGATAGAAGTTGCTTACACCAGAGATTTTTTAACTGGCAGAATCACCTGGAAAGATTTTTAAAATGCAAGTTTCTGCATTTAAATAGCTGCTTTCAACTGAAGTAAGTGCAGCTCGCATGAAGAATAAAGACGGCCTGGTAGGTGATGGTAGGTAGCTTTTGGCTGCTCCTTGAGCAGATTAAGTGGGTTATTATCTTGGAGCTACTCATTACACAGTGTATGACTAAAGTAGGTTACAGTTAAGGAGATGCTATAGATCTACTTTTTAGAACTTGGGGGTTAAAATGTATTTGGTTGAGCTTGGGCCCAGAGTATACAGGAATTCAGCACATAATGTGAGTTTTCAATATGATTGAAAACTCAGCGGTTGTGCCTGTTGAAAAGGGTGATGCTCATGGAAGGGAGGACAATATTACTGCTAGGTGAACAATGAAAAGCTTTTCACACCATGAAAGTACTCAAAATCAAGAACTGGACTGCTGTATCTATCGTCATCACAGTGGTATTTCACTGGACTCGGTAAAACTAGGATGTGACTGCTACCATTTATAAACTACGAGTTTGTGGGAGGCAGCAGGGAAGAGCTTTATGGGTGACAATCCAACTCCCACCTTGAGTTGGATAGCCTTAAGAAAGCTAGCTCTGAACCCTGTTCTTTGTTTAATAAAGGAAGAATGATACTACCATCCCAATCAGCAGCTAGAAAGAAATGAGAAATGTGCCTTTTTCTCCCGAGAGCTCAGTGAATGCTAGCTATCCCAGCCCCAACCTACCTCCACTCCCAACATCCTTTCAGACCCTCTTCAAAAGGGAGAGAGCACACATGTGGGCAATTATAATGAAGAGTGTAATTCCAAACAATTGGTCATGTTTTAAACACAGT